GTTAACGTTACTTACTTACTACTACTATATATATATATATATATATATATATATATATATATATATATATATATATATATATATTAATAAATTAGTCTATATTGCTGATTCCTACACTGGTTAAACGTCTGGTCAAACGTTTCATGAGAATGATCAGCTCTTCAGTTATTACGTAATAACTTAGTGCAACCTCACACGAAACATAGGGTTCATTTGGAGCAATCCATTACAAGAAATTTCCCATGGTTTCCATTGCAATTTGGAAAAAAAAGGTAAATGTCGCAAATTTGATCCTGACGTTACGCTTAAGGTCGGACATGATTGAGTCTAATTCTATTAATACTAAATTACTACGCAATAAAAAAATAAAATAAAGAAGTAGGAAAAAAGTGAACTGAGTATACAAATGCTGTGCATATAAGAAATCAAAAATTTTTGTCAAACAACCAAAAAAGTCGGTCGAAAGATATTATTTAATAATTACTCGCTAATCTAACAATAAAACGAAATGTTGAAGTCCTACATAAAGTAAGTGAAAGGTGGAGCTTCTGATCAAACTTCATAAACAATAGCAGTAGTGTAGAAAAGAAACCAAGAATCTCCTTCCTCAATTTATCTTGCGAAATGTGAAAATTTAAGCGAAATTGACAAATCTAATCTTCAACTCATTTGACAAATCTAATCATCAACTCATTTAATGAGTTGAATAATGTTGAGGCTTTAATAAATAAAATTATGATACGCGTTTTAAGTTCCTAGAAAAAACAATCCTTTTTTTAAATGGCTAGAGTATTACTTGAAACACAGAAAGCCCCTTGAAACTTTGCGGTCAGCTATATATAGCGCAGTACTAAAAGGTAAAAAAGCAACTGAGCAGAATCTGTGCAATCTAAACATTGTTTGTGCTTTTCAAAGGTAATTGTCTTAATTTAATCCAACTTCATAACTTCAAAACGGGTTCAAAGTCTATGCTTACTTCAGTGCGTACCACTCTCACAGGCCGTGAAGGTGGTGTACGTGACAGTGTATGCGTTGGTATAAATGCCCTGTTATCATTGTAGTAGTGTACCAGTTCCTTCTTCTCCAGTACTAACTCCTCTTTCAGCTCGTTCCTATTCGGATCACCAGGTTTTGCCTTCGATAGATCTTTTGGTTTGTTTGCTGCCTTTAACTTACCACTTCGATCTTCATTTTCCCGTGAATCTTCTTCAGCAAGAAGTTTCTAGAATTGACAAGTTCTTTTGATAAATATTAACATACAAAAAAGTCCTTTCAAACAAAAGAACCTGAAAAATAAAGAGAAAAACATGAAACCACAATTACAAATTATTCCTTACTATCCAAGTTTTATTACCCTAAATCGTTCAGAGTTTAAACTGATGACCTTAATGTTACTGCCTTTACTTTTACTATTTGATTGTTTCAACGAATATTGCCGGTAATCTTTTGTAACTGTAACGATGCAATTATTAGTTCCAATCAGAAAACAAATTAACTGATGAATGATGCTGACCGCCTAAAGTATATTTCCTCTCGGCCCGTACTTGACTAGTTCTGCTTACCACCATAGAAAAAACAGTCCTAATTTTTGTTTTAGTCTAAAAAGTTTTAAAGACTACAGCAATTACAACAAAATATCCACTAAACGAGTTTAGGTACAATATATTATTATATCAGGAACACAAAATGCGACTCATTTGGTTGCTTGGCAACAAAATGGGAAAAAAGGAAAGAAGTAACTAAAACGATAAAACGACACTTTTTAAAACACCTCCGCATAGTTTTCCAAAGTACTCACTACAATTTTTGTCCCACATTATATTTTAATCAATGCTCTCACGATGATCTCTCATCTCCCCTCAAAACCTATCGCAGTTTCCACCACTTCAAGTGATAACACTGCACAATTAAAAGATCGCTTTTTTTCTGACAATAATTTTTTTTGATAGTAACCTAATCGGAAAATTAATTGCTTTTCGAAGGCCCAAAGCAGCTTTGCAAAAAAAAGAAAAAAATTATTTGCAAAGTCTTTTCACAAAAAATAGTACATATATTTGCTTCTGTGTTTCATTAAGGGAATGGTGGATAAATCAAGAAATGAATTTCTAAGTTCTCTTAAGAATCTCTCTTAAAAAAATGAAGATTTATACACTTTTTATAAATTTACCAAAGTTATGACTTATTTGTTTTTACCAACAAATATCGTAACCTCATACATTTGTTTCAAAACACTGCAGAAAATTCGATCCATTTAAATTGTTTAAAAATCTATGTTTGTGCAAAATTTCATGAGAAAGTTATACTAACCGCATAAGGTACCATCAATAATGATAAGCTGCTCAGCAGCACTGACCGTCCAAGAACAAAAACTTCTGAATCTGAAGTCGCCAAATTTAAGGCGTAATCCATCTGTGGGACTATACACTGTCCAAGCATTTCAAATGGTTCCCATGAGATCGCACTACATTTGCTGCAAATCAGAGTAATTAATATACACTACACCGAGCTGTACAGTAATTGTACATAATAAAATTGCATTAAATAGTTGGCTTTTATATGCAAGCGACGTCAATTACCGCATCCCGTCAGTTAAGAGAAAGCACACAAAATTAAGTTAAAACCTCCATAATTTAAGGAGGGATGAAGTGAAACTACTGTTATACCATTCAAAGATCTTTTGAAGCCAAATTCCCATTTTTTTTGTATCTCTTCAACGCTGTTTTTATACGTTCTCACCCTTTCAGATCTTAATTTTTCTTATCTCATAAAAAATGGAAAATACGAAAAAAGACTGTGCAAAACGAACCGGTCGGTAAGTGTAAGTAGAGCCGAGCCACCATTATGAAAAGTAACTTCTCTGAGTGTACCATCCGCCGGATTACTTTGTGAGACGCATTCCTCAGTATCAATGTCCCAAAAACGCACTAATCGGTCCTCAGATCCAGTTGCCAACAAATATTCAGAGGGATGGAAGCATACATGCAATACCTATATTGGGAAAAATATGGACTAGGGGATCCGAGCAATTTGACACATCTAAGAATTTTCGGTATTAAATTGCTAAATGTTTTTTTCTTTTAACTGATAAGACGAATTTACTCTATGTTATCAAGTATTCAAACAAAAGTTGGAAAGGAGAGCTTTAATTTGTAAAATTGATTTTCGACAGACTTTCACATTCTCTTATCTAAAAAATTATTACCAGAAAATGAAAAGTAGCTGCAGTTCACCAAAATAGACCAGTCCTCAACGTGTTGCTCTTGGTTTACTTGCGTGCGAACTGAGCTCAGCTTTTTCGAATTAAGGCAAATTCCATTCCAATAACCAACATAACTACGTAAATTATCCGAAAACTTGAGATGAAAGTAAACCTAAAATTTAACTAACCTGAGATGAAGAAGGAAGAGATCTGTACTCTTTGACACGTGGATCCATCAAGTGCAAGTGATCAGAGCCTAGCGCTATGAAAGCGTCATTCGGGCTATAACATAAACAGTTGGTTGGACGATCAAAACGCCGCACTAGTACGTTAGCTGGATGCTGCCTTGTATCCCAAAGTGTTACTGTGCAGTCAGTAGCTGCTGATGCCCACATATATATGGACCTAAAATTAGTATAATTCAGTGAGCTTGACAACCGTCAACATTTGTTATCACTATTCCAGGTCGAGTTAAAGATCAGCCTTAAGGAAACGATAAGATTCAAAACTTTTACAAAATCGCTAATTTTTATGACCATCGTGAAATCCCTTAATTTCCGTTTCCTCTTCTGTTTTGACCACAATTTAGCCGAGAATAGGAACTTCAGACAGCTCAACCCAGACCTCATTTTTAGGTTGATTACAGACTCAACTGACCTGTTACTTTGAGTTATAGCATTAATCCGTCCCTTATGACCAACCAATGTCCGCATTTGGCGTCCTGAAATTCTACTTATAAAGTTTTTCCTCCTATAAGTGTCATTCACGTTATCGTAGACATTAAACTGCAGGATGAAATTAAGATTACGTACAAAAATTATGGTTTTAAATCATTCATAAAACTTAGAGCTCTATATAATTCAATGTGAAAGCGATAAGCATCTTAAGCAGCTATCCACTCAATTTATTTACTTATTTATTGATGGTTACACTAATGACATTAAACAATTTACTTCCGTTAAATACCGGTTGTCAAAGCATAAATTTTGAAATGACCGGCCTCTTTTTATATTTCGTTGCAGTAATTATTTATCAAACAATGTAACACTATGGTATAACTGATTATAAAAAAGGAATGGTTCAATCTACTTCCGAAAATGATATTGCCTCGGGCAAACAAAAATGCAACACCCTGAAAATTATGCATTTTGAATGGAGTCCTATTCTTGTAATAGGAAGTGGATGACTTGATGTCCAAGCTTGCAGTGGCCCGTTTCAACTGTTTTTAGTTGCTTTGTGTTACTCGTAATGCTTTTGGTGCTCATTGAATGTATATTAGTCTTTAAGCTACTCCATTTGACCCATGAGAATTTCATGTTTTATAATGGAGGCTAATATGCTGATTATTTTCACTTTTCCTATAAGCAGAAAAAAGATCCTTCACTGAAATGGAATATCCATCACTAATGTTTTATTTTTAAAAATGCTTTGTACAAATACATTTGGTTGTTGTTTTTATCCTTCAGCCAAATTAAATTTCAGCTTTAGAACATTAAAAATAGGAAAAGCACCAGTATTTTAATCCTATTCATTATACAGCTGAACCCTTTACCAAGCAGTAGTCTGCGTAAACCCTCAGAATGAATACCAAGAAGTTAATGTAGCAAATTTGCAACGAATACATCATTTCTCAAAATTCTACCATATTTGATTTTTTCACACAAAGAGTTATAAGTTCACCAGTTTCGAGATCCACGAGTTTAATGGCAGCTGAGGTTGCATATGCGAGATTTCGTTCATCATGTGCTAAGGAAATATAATTTGTGACTAAAGTTGATGAATCATCCGACTTCTGAAATCGAGAGTAGATGAAATTGGTGAGAGGATAACGAAGATTTAACCCTGAAAGTTCATAAAACATAGATGAGTCTTGAATTTCTGGCAGCGTGAGAATCACATCATCTCCCTTGTTGTGCAATGTATTAAATCTAAAACACTGTATAAAAAACAACTGACAACTTGTGCAGCAGTATTGTACACTTCTTTTTTATATTAAAGAAGAGCAGAGGTATTTACTACACTTCTGGACTGAAAATCAGTAACGGCTGAAAACCATCATCAATGGCATAAATTGTACTTCAGCATTTTCTCAGTATCATGTTTGGAATTTTTGAAATCAAAAAATCTCAGACAGCAAAAGTGGAATAACGAAACACTAGGTTTATCTATGAATTGACAGAATAAATGGACTGCTGCTGGATAAGCTCTTGTCATGTCATGGATCACAAAAATTAGCATAGTCTACGATTAGGAAACTAGCCTGTACAAAAGAAAGTAAGAATGCTGCATTGAAAAGATGCGATATTGTGTTGAAATGAATGATTTTTGGCCTCCGATAGGCAGACCAAAGCTTTGACACAGTATAGCGTATAATTCAAATCCTTCCTTATTCTTGTCAGATTTATCAACGTATTTTCACAGCACAGTCTCTGAATTTTACACTATTTCAGAACATTATCTTCCAATACTTTCGCTTACCAGGTGATCTTGTCCGGAAGTGGCGTTAAATGGATAGCACACTAGGGGCGGACAAGCGAACACATTCCTTGTTTGTACACCAATGACACCAATGGTTGCACTATCTTCATTTACTACTCTCTCAACTGAAATTAAACTCATCCTGTGTTTCTTTTTCACACTTTAACATTCTTAGTTTAGCTAACTCACAATAAATAAGCAGAAACATCCATGGAGTGACGAAAATGACGTTATGTGGATAACACAGTTTTATTGGCTGGTTATAATCATTTGTTCTACTGTGCTCAGAGAACTTCAAGAAAGTAATAAACATACAAAGTGACTGCATGTGCAGGAGCCCATCCGTCCAACTGTCGGATATCACCAATGAATAATGAACTACAATTTGTACATATTTGAAGTAAATAATTATTTTCAGATGTTTTTGGAAAACGTCAACAAGCAAACATATATATTTCGACAATATAAAATAGATGCGACTAAAAAATGATGCAAACGTTCACATACAATGCACTTCTAAAGAGTTCCTTTAAGAAATTTTTCACATTAATCACTTTCGCTTTTCGATTGGTTTGAAATCATATTTAATTTAATTTCAAACATTAAGCCCTAAAAAACTGGACAACGATGGACTATGCTATGGTATGATCAGTTAAATATAGCCAAATGAGTAGAAAACGCTTGTGAGAAGTGTGTACAAGAGCTAATCATCAGTTCGTTGAAAAAAAATTGCAGGAAAAAGAGAAAGAAACACTATAATAATGCATGATGTTGTCACAACTACTGCATGATACGAAAGAGCAGATGAATACGACGCAGACAGCAAAATCGGTGAGACAACAGGCAAATGATCAGTGTCATCGTCCTCAGATCTCTCACACTGGAGTTATTCGCATCTATTATGTGATATAGAATTTAGCGGTCTTGAAGTATGATCTTGAAGAATAACAAAGGCTCTGAAAAATATCAAAAGGCTCTGAAAAAAAAATATCTCCATAATCTCAATATTCACTTCAACTTCACCTTTCTGAATATCGAGACATAATCTCAACTTCCAGGCGATAAGAAACTCCTAACTTTTGACCCGAGATGTACGACTGTCATTTAATGCCGCGTCTCACATATCAAGTCATGTCGTACGCTGCAATACATAACTTTCTTGGAAAACATTCATGGCATCGACTATCAAACAATCCTGTTTGATCTAGTCTTAAATTAGAGTTAATAATCTGGTAATGGTTTACAATAGATGGCAGTGTTTTCCTCACTTGACCGAAAATTTCAAGAACTTACGTATACCCTGCTTTACACCATTCAAGTGATATGATTAAAATGCAGGGGTTAGGTTTTATGATCGTAACAATTAAAGATATGCTGTAGCCATCACAAGCAAAACTATTTCTTAACATTTAACATTCTAACCTTTGTCTTCAAATTTAAGTGAAAAAAATTGAAGTTTCTTTTGCAAACCGAACTTATCTAAACAGACCTGCTTCTGTTCTTTAAAACAGAACATAAAACGTGAATATCAAATAAACACAGTATCCGCTTTCAAGATAAGTCTTAGTGCGAATAAATAATGATCAGTCAGATCAATCAATGGTTATATCAAAGATAGATTTCATGAATACATATCTTTTGTTGAATTATTTATGCCTCCAGGCCACTTATAATGTGGGAAAAAAAAGAGTGAACTGACTACGATGTTTATAATACGGAACATAGAAAAGTAATTTGTTTGAGTTGTGGCTTGATCAAGTCTTCAAAATGGTACGTCCCGTGAATTCCTAAAGATGTACACGGATTTAAACCGCAAGGAAATAAATAACATTTTGTATGGAATTCCAATGTAAAAAGTTCTATTTTCTAATCTCTATGTCTTTCCCGCAAAATACTGGACAAATTCTGAGGGTTAAACAGCATTTGTCCTATTTAATATCGTTCCCAAAAAAAAGAAAAAAAATAAAAGACCGAAAAAATAAAACAAAGCTGGAAAATCTCAAAATGTTTTCAAGTTTAAGCCGTTGATGATAAGTTGCTCCAGCACTGAACCAATTTTCAGGGAAAAGTTGTTCAGGGAAAAGCTTGAAATTTGGCGAAAAATTCAGAAGTGACAGAATTTTTTGTACAAAAATGAAGTGACTGTCAGGAGATACTTTTAAATGAAGACCCAAGAAACAAATCAAACAAAAGTTCATTGCTCCACAAACAGCCTCAACAGTAATTGAATGAAAAGACAGAGCAGTGAAAACGTAAAACTGTAGTTAAACTGTAAACTGACAAACTACGGTTTGTCAATTTAGGGGTCCAGCAACGGTAATCTGTTGCTGGATTTTCGCGTGGAGTTGACCCAGCGTTTGGCAGCTCGCGGGCTGGACGCGGCTTTTCAACAAGTTTTTTCTATCCGCGAAGTCGCGGGAGAAGCCTGCCATCCTCACCGCTCTTCCCTTGCCTTAAATCAAAACTTTCCAATGTTGAAGTCCGTTGATCTTTATAACACAAGTTCATCACCTCAATATTAAATAGTGATGTAATTAAGGCCCTCCACATTTCAGTGAATCCATTACAATGTTTCATTTGCTGTTTTTTATGAAAGAATAATATACGTACACGGAAACGTATTGGATAGAATTAAGTTAAGTGTATTAGTTCAGTCCCCGAAAACCACTCCAATTTCTCATGTGGTCTTCTGGAAAAGTTGATTGCCCATCCCTGGTGTAAAGTCAGCATGACGGTCCTTTTGATTTTGTAACCATAACAGTTTGAAGTACTGACAGATTTTTTAAAAACCAGTTCGAGAAGCAGAAAAAAAGACGTGATTTGCAAATTAGACAAGACAAACAAAATTCCACAAATTTTGCGAAATTCATTTCACCGTTAAAATACGACGGTATAACATAAGAGGAAAAGATGGAATTTAAGCTCAGGAAACTGCAGCTCCTGAACCACTGCTACTTATATTATACCATTCTTCTTAGCAAATTCACCTATCTCTGAAGAAACTAGCATCTCTTGTAACTGTTTATACAGTAAAGTTAGGAATTTCTGAAAATTTCAAAATTAAATAATAGCAAATAAGTTACATTCCAACAAATTACGAAGTAAATGGCGAAGCCAAATGAGAAGACAGAGAGAGTCTTTAGTTGCAAACTTTGCAAGAATAAAACGAGGAAATGATATGTGGAAAGTAATTTACTGAATACGAACAAAACAAAACCAATACGTAGATCGCTGTCCATCGTTTTCTAGCGACTTATTTTTTTTTTTTTTCTTTTTTACATTCTACTACTTCACATACACAAAGGATGCAGCTTATAGTTAAAAAATTCATAAAATTGAGAATATGAAGAAGAAAACTGAGATATTGATTGGTGTCATCAAATCTATGTGTAATGTTCAGAGTATTAATACGATGTGCAAACTCTCAATAGCGATCGGAAGATGTAAACAATGAATATACGCTGGAGATGACGTAATTTAACGCAAAGGCGTTTGGGAAGAGAACTAAAGGTTTTAAAGGTAGATGTAGTATAACACCTTAAAAAGCCTTGGAGGAAAAACCTAACAGATATTCATTTTTATATTTTGAGAGCAAAATCTCTAAAAAAATCAACAAGATGTATTATTCAATCTTCCCCTTGAACAGAATGAAGATTGGAACTCAATTTGAAATTGAATCGAAATAAGTTTAGATAAACAAATCACAATATAACAGCACACTTCTTTGAGTCTCTAGCAATAGATTCCGGAAATGATTCTTCTCTCAATACACTAAGTCATATATATTAATTCATAAATTAAAATATTCATGAATCTAAAAGAGTAATAGAACCAAAATTCTCCAAAATTTTGTTAAACTTAAATCATGTAGAATTCATATAGTTCTTAATAGAAGCGAACATAATCCTAAAAAAATGAAAATCCGTAACAAAAATTGAAGGCGAGAACCATACTTGGAAATAGACAATTCAGCCAACAAAACGTATAAACACCGCTTTGCATTAGTGAGACAGGAGAAGAAAAGTCAAAGGATCGGATTTAAGCGGATTTGAAATTTGCAGAAATTCAAAACAATACAAACTAAACTGTAATACGGTGAAGATTAGACATTTATCTAACCTCTTTCTTATTCATCCTAATCTTTCGACTTGATAAAAGATTCCTAACAGCGGAATTTCGGAAGAGTCTTGAAGATTATACTAGAGATCGTAAAAATTTTAATTAAATAGTTTCTAGAGAGAAAAACTATTCAGAAAATACATATGCACAGTGCGAACACATATGCCACCCACTCATGAAAGTGGTGTTTAATCAAAAAAGATGGTAAGGTATGTCGGTACAGCAACATTTACTGAAGCGCTTTTTTCAAAGGCTTTCAAAGAGATTACTTTTTACAGGCTGTAATTTAAAAAGAAAATGTAACAAGTGAGCATAACATAGTAATCATTTTGAGAATAGAAAGATAACAAAAAAATGGAAGGTTTTATTTTGAAAGATAACAAACTATGGAGTTCATTTGCACAATGAACGACTGCTAGAGAAAAGTTTAAGGGGTTAACTCCAAAAGAAAATGAAAATGAATGAACCAAAGGGCCCAGTTGAATCTTTTGATTCATTTGGTCCCGTCTGGAAAAATCGATAGCTCATGTTGAATGTTCAAGCAAAATCCTGAAATTCAGTAAATGCACTCATTTTTGCTTATTTCTAGAGAAAACATAGATAAGTGGGAGAGTCATCAAATACTGCAAATATACCAAAAATGATGGAACTGATTTTGCTGATAGATAGTGGATGTGGATGACTTGCATTGGAACTATTACTTCTTGTCAGGGAAAGGGAATGGATGAAATTAGGAGAAACAATGAAAGGATTGAGAAAGGCTGCTACACAACATCAGTGTTAAGCCACGAAAACAACTGTAGGGAATCTAGAATGCTGAAGTAAATATCAGGGAGCAAAACTATGCCCATTATGCTTTTTGAGACCATAAAACGAACGGGAACAACAATAACAATAATGATATTTGCGTCTATCGGAGAGTCATCCCAGGTTGGAGACAGTCTGTTGCAATAGTTCTCAACACTGTCACCATTCTTCTCGCATACAGCTGATATTGATGATAACGAGGAAGCTGGATATGCTGAGTGCTTGTGTCAGGACACATTTATGATAGACATACACAGACACGCATAAATATATATACATATGCAAACATAATACACACACATATACATACATACATACATACATACATACATACATACATACATACATACATACATACATACATACATACATACATACATACATACATACATACATACATACATACATATATACATATATATATACATCAACTACATAACGCATGACACAGTAGCATATACGACGATGAGGAATTATTATTAACAGATCAGGCTTTCTGGATGGTGATAACACGGGTGGGGTGACAATGGCCATGGTAATGATGTCAGTTCATTGATAATAACTGAGGAAAATACCGAGAACTGCTAGTTGTATCGATAAGGCAGTACTACTAACACTTCTATAAGACCATATTGGTGACATAAGGCTTCATCATTTATTGAGAACAATCACAGATGGAGTTATTGAAGACTACGAGAAGGAGAGAGAGAGAGAGGGAGAGAGAG